ATAGATAGATAGATAGATAGATAGATAGATAGATAGATAGATAGATAGGTATATATAATATTAAGTAATATGTTTAGTCTTGCTTTGTTTGGCTGCAAATTATTTGAACGACACTCTACTCGACATGGTCTCACAACTTCTGTTTCGTGGAGCAACTTAATATAAGATCTTGTAACAATAGAATAGATGGTGGAACTGCTGTGGTTCCCTGATGCCCTACTCACATTATCTCAACCTACACTCACCCAAAACCATGGAAACTATTGAACATCACGCATCCTTGAATATCTCCAATGTCTACTTTACAAATCTATTCATTGATATCCATCAACGCCCCAAATCATGACAGCCCCTGACCAAACTGCAGAATAGACACGCACTCCCTCGCGTACGGTCAACAAACAAAAACGCACGAAGCGACAGACCGACACGAGGAAGTGTTCACCTTACGGAACTCCTGGGTGCAAATGGAGAGGAAATGATCCCAGTCGAAGGTGCTATCGCCTGAAAGAAGAGACGACGAAGTGGCGAGTCGGTTCGGTGTTGGGGTGTGATCTCCGTGGTGGGGGGAGTTGTCTTGTTCTTTTGCTTCAAGCATGGAGGTTGAGATCCAAAGTGTCAGACCAGCTGACTGGCTTTGTTGATATGATGTTCTTTCTTATTCTCCTGCCCAAACAGGATATAGTGAACCCAAATACTGTATTCCAAAGAAGCTTGCAGTGTGAATCCCGCTGTTTTGTTGTCTTGATGTCCCGTGCGTCTGTTGCCTTCAGCGTGAGCTGCTTGGAGAGGGTGTCCTCAAATCCTTTGTAAAAGATATTAAAACTCACAAGTGTCGGATGAAAACATGATGTTTTATTGGTGGGGTTTCCAGGTTTGACATTATCAAACATGTCCGCGTTTGATCATTGTATTGTGTTTGGTGGAAATGAGGCCATGGTTGTCTCAGGATAGATGAAGAAACAACATGTTCCAAACGTCTCTCCGGGGGGGGGGGGGGGGGAAATGATGGGAAATTTTTCGGGGGGATAGTTTGATCAGTTGATCTTAACCGTGGGCATACCAGAATGTTACCTGCATTGCTGCATTGTTTCAATATGTGTCATTCTTTTATTGTAAATATGAGTCGTAACCAGGTTAAGCAGCAAAAAACAATTATTCCACTTTGGGCGCTGCAAAAGCGCAGTGCTGCAAGAGCACAATGCATTGCTGCAAGAGCAATACTTCCAGAAGGTTGCAAGGAAAAGCAATGCGCGTCATTCTCTTGCAAACACAAAAACCATAGCTAAACCAAAACAATTGTTTTTTACTAGTCCCCCGAGTTTTGCCTTCTTGCATTCCAGTTGAGCTTTGCAAAAGTCTCCTGTTACTACTAAAGACTAGTAGTTGCCTGGAAGGACGGCAGACTGTCAGCGTGAATTGGACTGGACAGGACCTAGTCACCTTGCTAGATTTGGAACCAACATGTTTTTGTTAGGCTTTTGTTCGATGCTTGACAACTGCTCTTGCAGAAATGAACTTGTTTTGCTCTTACAGCAGTGCTTCAGCAGTGCTCTTCAGAAATGATTGTTTTTCTGTCTCGGCTTGGAAGGCGGGGTATCTGGGAGATAGATCTGGGGTGTCTGGGAGATCATTTTTGTCCTAGACCTGTTAGTTGGATGTGGAGTCTGTGGGACGGGAAGTCGCTTAAAATAGGCCTTGCTGTATTTCTCTGTATAATTTTCCAGCACTGAAGCTAGCCAACACAGAGGCCCAAACTTATTATTAGTGATAGATAGATCGATAGATAGATAGGAAAGAAAAAAAATAGAAAAACTAGAAAAACATAAACAAAGAAAAAAAAAACAAAAATAAATAAATCAAAAAACACAAAGAAAAAAACACAAACAAAAAACAACATAAACAATAATGAACCGTCAGCATCCACCATTGTGGGTTTTGCAGGTCGCCATGTGCCATTAGACACGTTCATAGTGAAAACCTCATTTACAAACATGTAGTGCTTGCTCTAGTCATGAATATGAGTATATATGAATCTATATAAAAACGGGTGCGTTTTTAATTTAAGACTTTTCATTTTTTTTGGGAACTTGTTCGAAAACATTGGGTTAGAGCGGGTTTCAAGGTGAACCTTGTAAAGCGCAGGTGCCAGTACAGAAGCTGCATACATTATGTATTGTGTTATGGGCGTACAAATGATTATACATAAACTTACTTCTTTTTTCGCCATAGTAGTTATGACGTAATCCTTGGCCGCCAAGTCGAACTTTGGAAAGCGGAGGTGCGAGTAGCGAAGGTGCAGGCAAGAGAAAGTGTGGCGCTGGGGGCTTGTCTACCGCAGCAGTCCGTAGGCGCCGAGGCGGTGGTAGCTGGAGTGGTTAGCCTTGAGATTCAATTCAAATTCTAAGAACAACACGGGGGGCGCATACAAGGCAGAGAGCGAAGGGCTGGGTATTCGACGGCTTTGGCCACCACTTCCTTCTGCGCGTCTTTCGCCTCAGCAGGAAGACGGCAAGCAGCAGGCACCAACAGGATCAGCCAGAAGAGACAAAGGCTGGCGCGATGCTTCAAAGAGATACGAAAGAAGCAGGCCCGTTGGAATGACGTGCGTGGGTGTACACGGATAAATTGAGCTTTGCGCTGCAGATGGGCGATCGGAACTTGCTGGCGGCACCTCAACCAAGAAAACAGTCTTGAAAACATCATGGATCTAGGCTCGCGAGCAGGCTAGAGGACTACAGGTTCCATCTAAGAACGGAGCATTGCACTCGTCCTTGCGCGCATCTTTGGCCTCAGCACGAAGACAAGAAGCAGGCAGCAGAAGGATCATCCACAAAAGACTAAAGGAGGCGCGATGTTGGGCAGAAGCATGCTGCGGACATAACGTGCATAGAAACGTAAGGACAAGTTGAGCCACGCGCTGCAGATGTGTGACCGGGACTTGCTGGCGTCGCCTCAACCAAAGGAACAGCATGATGAAGCTAAGCTCCAGGCTACAGGACTACAGGTTCCATGTAAGAACGGAACATTGTGCTCGTCGTTCTGTGCGTCTTTGGCCTCAGCACAAAGACAAGTAGCAGCGTGATGCATCTATAGAGCTTCCATCCAAGAACGGAACATTGCGCTCGTCCTGCTCCGTTTCTTTGGCCTCAGCGCGAAGACAAGCATCAGGCCGCAAGCATCAGTGGGGAAATGAAATGACTGCAGACAGTGGGGTTTACACTGTAGACTGTAGACGTCTAACTGGAACCTGTGGCTGATCCGTGGGCAACGCCCATTTGAGATCGCAACCGTGCGCTCTTCTCCGCACACGTCTGTGTCCTCAGCGCGAAGACAAGTGCGAAGAAGGCAAGAACTTCGCACACTGCCTGCATAAGGGCGTGAGACTCGGCCACATTCACGCGGAAGAGTGTGAAGAAATCAGAAAAAGTGAAATGACGCAAGGCGGAGATGGTGACACCTTGCTTCGACATTGCAGGGTAGAAGTGGCCAAGCGAGACAGACCGCAGCAAGGGCAGGAGAGCTGTGTCGTGTGGTCTGACTGGCGCAACGACAGGTGCAACAGTGGCGACCGCACGGGAGGGTATGTCGATGGAGTACCTGGCTGCTTAGGTGGTCGACCTTTCTTTTTGGTCTGTGGCAACGAACATGCGTTGGATTGGCCTTCGTGCTCCATGCAACTATATGCGTGCTCACACGGTCCCCAGAGCGATGCAATGTGGCACCCCCAGCAAAGCCAAAGTCCATGCTGGTTTGCGTCCGCTGGGGATAGATGACTGGTAGTGTGGGATTGCCACAAGATCTTTGCGAACGGCCCCGACACAACGCACCGCCAGTCATCAAAAAGCTTTGCGGTGGCTTGCCAAGAATGGAACTTGCGCACGCTAGCGTCATAAACTTCAAGACTTTCAAGAGCAGCCTCGACACTAGCTATCGATGTGGCAGCAATGATGGAAGCAAAATGCCGAACTGCAGCATCGGGTAGTTTGACCGGGGACCGGGGCTTGAACAATGTTTCTTCCCTGCTGAGTGGGCATGGTCTACCTTCAGCAAATTAAAGTTGAGGGTCCAGCTGGGCGCCCTTCAAGGTCACTCTGGCTAGTCATTTTTGTATGTTGAAATTTATAATAGTGAATCATTTTAAGCATAAAATTCACAAATAAGCTTTAACAAATCATTAGGAAATACTCAAATAAGCAGAAAAATGACTCCAAAATGATTAGACATGATTTTGAACAAAATTCACCGAGTAAAAGTATGAGTGAACCGAACCAAAAGTGTTTTCACGAGTAAGTCCACGAGTGAAGCCACGAGTGAAGTTGCAGTGAACTTGCAGACGAAATGAAAGTTCAACATAGCCTCTTACGATAAGCTGACAAGTCTAGCAACAAGTCAACTTACAAAGTACAATGAAATAAGTACTAAGGACAAACGGTTCCTTTACGATAATCGCTCCTGGCCTCGTTGAAACTTTTTGAACTAACCTAGTAAGTTTTGGCTGAAGAGCTCTGTGCTGGCCCGGGTTGTGACAAAGTACGGTTTTTGCAAAACATTGAAAAGTATTTTTTTGAAAGTAGTCAAGCTTTAACTGTGCTGGCAGGGATTGTAAAACTATTGAATAGTAGCTAGTATAAGTAAGTAAGTAAGTAAATTCACTGCAGTTCATTGATTGATTGGCAAACTCTGCAATCAGATTGAATTCCCAAAAGGCAAACCCACTTTCTCATTCTCACAAGGGCCTTGCCTTGGGTCACGCTCCCATTCAAACACAAAGACCCACGACCCACCACACACTGTTCATTAATCAAATCAAATATATGCATTACTCTTGCTTGCGAAGCACGCCCAACAACACAACACCAGCTCCATCACAAGCATTCATTACTGTTATTGAACCAATGCTGTAATCATTAGTTTGAAATCAGTTTAAATCTTATTTGTGCACTTTTTTGACAAAACAGTGCGCAAAGCTGATGTGCCCCCAAATTTAATTGCACACAAGTGATACAGAAGTGCACTGAATTGCATGCAAGTGAAGTGCATAAAGCTGACATTTGCAAAATCACACAAGTCACACCAAAGTGCATCCATGTGACAAAAAAGTGCACAAAAGTGCACAAAAGTGAAAAGTGCCAAAAGTGCAACTCCAGCTCCAGAAAATAAAAGTCCAACAGTATTCAACAGTATTCATTCAATATTCATTCAGTATTCCAGTACAAAATACTCCAGCTCCAGTATCCATTCATTCAGAGAAAGAGCAACAATACGCAAATGCAAATCCTCCAATTGCCACACTGACAAGCAAGCATGTATAGGTACTGTTACGCACTGATCTCTAATAGCTGGCAGTAACATCAGGCACAGTCACAGACTTCAGCAGCAGCAACTGAGGCACTGTGCCCTTCAGCAAAAGCAATTAAGAATGTAAATTGTGATAGTCGGTCTGCTTGCATTTAGTTTTGCGCCTACCGTATCAAGTGACTCATGAATCAATGATTGTCAGCCAGTGAAGGTTCCACCACCCAAAGGTTTAGTTGGTTATAAAACTCACAACTTGACACATGTTCTTCTAAACACAAATTGAAGTATCAATAGTAGTAATACTCTCAACGGCTAACAAACACTCATAACAAAATGAGGATGACAATGAAATGCTTCCTTTCAAACACAGTAATTTAAAGCATTACTTGTCAGCCTTTTAATGATTAGTTCAGAAACAAAAGTGACAAATACACTTTTTGCATTTTCACATCATGTTCAATCATGTTTATATCATTTTTGCACTTTTAAAGCAAAAAAGTGTAAAACTAAGATTTTATAAGCTTCAAGTAAGAATAAAGATGATTCAAAAGTGATTCAATGTGATGTTAGTTTCCTTGTAAACAAGGGTGACCTGGAGAAGGGTGCCCATCTGGACCTCAACTTTGGTTTAGGGATACCTTCGGACGTTGGGGCAAGCGTCCAAATATTGCCGCTACCATCGACAAATCGAGAGTGGAGCCCCCATTGCAGCAATTCTCTGCAGGCACAGGAACGGCCGTCCCTCCGCATCACAACCTCACCGGCCAGGATGCGCTGATCCAGAAACATTCCAACAGCGGGCCAGTCTTGGAAAGATTCACCTCTTTCTTGCATGGAAGCGAGGAGTTCAGAGTTGCAGACAATTCGGAGGGCTTGTAGCGGGACATCGAGAAGAAGGCTGGCTTCAAGGTTTGACTGTGCCACGATTCTTGGGGCGCTGATCCACAATCAATCCCCGGCATGATCCTGTCGGGCGCAGAGCGCCACCCAGAATCCAAAGCGACTCTCCGTCCAAAAAGGTGGTGTGAAAGTACTGCCTTTGCAGTTGCTTCAAGAGCTCATGATGGCCTTCGGAGGACAGCTGTGCGAAAATGCTGCTCCAAATGACGTGAAACAATCTGAGCGGCCACTGCTTTGTAATCCGACAGACTTAGCAAAAGCCACGGAACATGAGACGAGCGGGCGGCAGGCGGCAAATACTTCAGAAGAAGCCCTTGAAATCCACCAGGCCCTTGGGAAGTAGCACCAGTGACATCCGCCCAGTCCAACAAGCGAGTGGCATTTGGAGCAACAGCAGCACGAGCAGCTTCAATCCCTTTGTGCATATCCCCATGCCACTGTAGCACGTTATCTGGCTGCAAGTTGTGACCCAAAGTCTGAGCAGTTCGGAAAAGGGTGCGCACAAGATGCGCGTAGGCCTGCTCATTTTCCTTGTCTGCCAATGCAATACCAGCAGCAGGAAGGAACCGCGGAAGGACCAGATGTTCAAGTCCTTGCGCACTGACCAGTTTTTGACGTTCACCCCAGCAATCAGCAACACATATGAGTCAAACATCAGGCGATAAGGTCCGTCTGTGGACAATTTCAAATTCCACGGCTTAGGGAGCAAACGCAAGGTGCGATCAAGCAAAGAAGGCGAAATCTGTGGCAAGCACACATGGTCCTGCGACAACTTCATGTCAACTACACGGAGGCTGACATCATCAGGACGTAGCGCCGCCGAATCTGGTAGGAGCGGCCTGGGGTTGCCAGACATCAAAGAAGAGTTGCAAGTCATGGCAAAATATCGCTGCTAGTGTACTTGCCTGTGCAAGGCGGCGTGGCTCGTGCTTTGCTCTTCAACTTCGCACGAAGCCGTGCGGCAAAGCCGGCAGTTTTGCCGGATTTGGGCCTAGAACCGAAAACATATTGATAAAAAAACACATCTAAATTAAATGGCCTTCCCCCAGGGACTAATGGCTTGGCCGCCAGGTCATGGGAACCTCGCCAGGCTGCACCTCACGGGCGCCTGGTGATTGCGCCAGGCTGCTGCGAACACGAAGGCGTGTTCGCCAACAACCCGGATGTATGTTTTGACTCTCTTGTGCCACATGCTTTGCCTGCGGGTGACAAAGGGCCTGCGCTCTTTCAACCCAATTGTATACATCAAAAAGAAGGAAAAACGCCGTGCGGGCCTATCTCGCCCACCGCGTTTGTGTTCCAAGCATGACGTTTTTTTATGCCTACCTTCCGTTCTACTGTGACCCTCACCGCAAGGAAGGCCAGTGCGCGGTGAAGGCCGAGGTCGTGGACAGCGCCAGCGGCTCCCCAACCGTCCGCCCCAGTTGCCGTGACGTGCTCCGCTCAACGACGTGATGCGAAACTGCAAACCGTAACAAAGCAACCGCGCCACTCTGCATGACCTCTGCATGACCATGTTGCATCAAACGACCGACACCAGGATCTTCGCTTTAGTTTACCTTTTTCGTCTCCGTCTCTCTCTCTCTCTCAAAACATATTTACATTCACTATATATACCTTAAACCTCCGGTGGTTGCTTTTCTCAGCCTCTTAGCAAAGAGGCTCAAATGTTAGCCTCTCCATTCAAGAGTTGCCGCTTAGAACAAAAACTGCCTCTCTGTTTTTCTGGTAGAAGGGAATCTTGTCATTTGTAATGTTTTTGGTGGTCTTGCGCTGCTGCTGCCGACAGCTATCAACATGATAAAAGATTATCGGTCAAGCCCAAGCAAAAAGAGTTTCGTCACGCTTGCTAGCATCTGCGTCCAAACCCAAACCAGCCGTTTGAGTTTCATCATCAGGCCCGGCGTAACTCTCCGAGGTGTTTGGCGCTTGGAGGTCTTTCAAGGCAGAGTTCATAGGAGTAGGCAGTTGCTGGATTTGCAATCTGAGCGCCTGCAGCCGGCAGAAAACAAAGCAAAAATGTTTAGCCAGTAAATATTCAGACCAAAACACTGACTAGAGGTCAGTATCAATACCTATTGAAACGAACAGCCCCACCTGCGGTTGTTGCAGCTCTGACATCAGGGTTGCATAGTCACCAACAAGTTTGTCCACATCTTTCTCTTCTTTCACTAACGTCAATTCAGCCATCAGGGTCGAACTCGAAAAGACACTTGACGGAAGCTGATACGCCATTTCCCATTTCGATTAGAGACAAGCCTGAAAGGGGCAACCTGTCGACTTAATTAAAGACTATGCCAAAAATTCATGACCTGGGAATTCCGCCTCTTACCCGGGAAGTTCCGCCTCTCGTTGCTTCATGTGTTTGCATATGTTTCATGTTTTTCGTGTGCTTTCATGTTTTTTTTCGTTTGTTTCGTGCTTTTTTCATATGTTTCATGTTTTATTTTTCCTCATGTGGCTCTCCTGTGCTTTAATGTTTTGAATGTGGCTTTCATATGTTTCATGTTTTTTCATATGTTTCAGGTTTTTCATGTGGCTTTCATGTGTTTCATGTTTTCATGTGTGTTGATCAAATTGCGCGATATCATGTTCATATTTGCAATTTTCCATTTGGATTGGCCTGCAAAAAGACCCCCACAAGTCCGGTTCGATCTGCCCGAAATGCAGGTTTTGAAGGCGGAAAGCCGGACTTGTGGGGGTCATTTTTCGCAGGCCAATCCAAGTGGACAATTAGCTAATTAGCAGTTCATATATATATAGTTTCATGTTGTGTGCGCTCACTTTTCCACAGTGAATTATCATGCCTTCATGCGTTTCATGTTTTATCATGCTTGAACCTTTTGAATCCACATATTATGTTTTGGTTCATGGTTCGGGGGTTGTGGTGTTTTTCCTATATGTTAAGTGTGTAAGTTTCATTGTTATCACGGTTATCATATGTTCTATCGACATAACTGGTGAGAAATCTATGTAAAACAAGAATCGCCTCTTGCAAAAAAAAGTTGCCTCTCAGTTCCTAGAGGCGCCTTCTAGGATGGAGGCGCAAAAAGTGCAGCCCTAGGAAGATTCAGGTATACAGTATGTGATTATATATCAGTCACAAATAACATTAGGCCATGGCGGCCATGACAGCTCGAGATGATCCAATCTCTTCCCGCCTCCGTTCTCGGCTTTCAGCCGACTGAAGATCTTGGCCTCCAAGAAACAACGTTGGGTGGTCATCCATTAAAGACAACAGCAATCCATACCCAAAGCCTCCATGTAAGGCATCTTTGGCATATCTTTGGCTCTTTGGCATATATTTGCATATGTAGATAATGTTATATTGTTTTTTTGAAGATATGTGGTGAAGATATGTGTGTGTATGTGTGTGTAGTTGTTTCTATAATGAAGGTGACATTGTGGCGGACACACATCCACTATCCGGTTGGTCGTGGTACCCTCCTTAGCCATCTGATCATCCGTAGTGGTGCTCCCTCAACAGTACTTTTGAACTCCAATGGATGCTTCAAGAGGACTTACGTGTTGTGAAGGAACAAGGAATGACAATGACAAGGACTTGACTAATCCGAAAACCTACAGTTTATCCTGGTCGCAGTTGGTGTGTTTCTGCCATTCTGAGGGGTTTGAGGATGGGCCATTGAGCAGCAACAATAGGTACAAGTGATCATGCAGCTGATGACTTGTTCGATGTGTTTGGGGATTCATCACCATCGATATGTATCATGTGTCCCTGACATTCACATACATTCACAAAAATCAAGCAACATTAGGTCCACAACTCCATCCAACTGGCGATGTTATCCTAACCAATGCTTTGTTATATAGTTAGACCATTCCAATTTGATTCAATTCTTTGATTCCACCAACCCAGTCCTGTTGGAACATCCCATCACCAACTCCCCCCAGCTTGGAGTATACTCTACCAGGGCACCAAAAGGTCACCAAAACACCCCGCTCTCAAACAGCGGCTTGGCTCCTCTTGGCTCTGTTTCTTCACAGGGCGCTCGGCAGATGCGCCACACCCGGTCGTGCCTTCAGCGCCTCAGGTGCCTCGGGATCAATGCCCTCGCGCACCGCTGCCAAAGCCTGGATGGAGCAGTGACCATATATAAGGCACCGCAAGGAAGAAATGCAAGACATATGGTCCATATATATATATGTAGAGTGAATACATGTTAAATCCTTGATTAAAGCATGGTGTTGAATCACCCAAAGAACAACAAATTAATTAACAGAGTTTTCACCAGACCCAAAAGCAGAAGGACCAAAACCACAATGTTTCGTCCGAAAGGAATGTCGCCCCCGTGCCTGCTTGAGCGTGAGCGGCGGCTTGTTGTTCGGGCAGGTGGTCTTGGATGCCTCGTTAGTTTGCCAGATCCCAACACAGAGCTCGAGGCCTTGTCCTTCAATATTCGAGACCTGAAGCAACTGTGTTATTCATGGAAGTCAGCATGAAGTCAGGAACAAAAACAACAATATAGATGCTACGTACATGATGTTATGTGTTATATATAACCCCCAAACAAATGAACTGCCATCTCAAATCCAATTGGGGTCCAACTATGCCCAAAGCCCAATGTCTCGCACGGCTGAATGTTTCATACAAAAGACTTTCGTGTGCGTATCAATCATTGAAACCTGTGCGTTCGCGTGTGTTCCATTCTGCTCCCACTCTACGCTCGCTTTCTTCCATCACACGTGTTCAGATCCTACGCAAAGGCGCAAGAAAGGGCCAAGCGGGCTGCCTCGGCTGGTGCTTTCTTGGAGGGAAGGATATGATGGATATAGAATCCATGCAGGTGCACGTCAAGCAGTGCCGGGTGCGGCGTCCGTCCCGGGCCCGTAGGAGGCTTTTGTCCGCTTTGGAGGCTTTTGGCCATGCGAGGATGCTAACATCATCTAACATCCAAATTCGCCAAAAGCACCACCATTCGCCTGCGTCGTTCAGCAGTTGTAGCACGCATTCCGTGGCTCAAGTAATGAGCTTCTTCAGGGCCGTCGAACGTGGTGGAATTGGATGTGGGAGATGTGGGCGATGTCCGTGATGTGTAGCAGAAGGATGCTGAAAAACGAAGGCCCAAGGGACTTGTTTTCCTTCAGGTGAAGAACGCGGAGTTCGCCCTTGAGTTCCACGCTTGGCACTGTTCAACGAAGGCGGGTGACCACGGTGAAGAGTGGCGTTCGGTCCCGGCTACCGCTGGGCTCGATCGGTTCAGACCCTCCCAGGGCACCTGCAAAAGGTCCAAACAGCCTGAATCCCGGGAGACCAGAAGCAACAGATCCCGCAAAACTACCCATTGAATCGGGGTGCCCTATCTTAAAACACGTGGATGTTGAGACATGGGATGTTTTGGGTCCCTGGTGAAGCAACAGCAACACGGTGGGATCTTGCAAGATCCCCACCAAAGCAATGGGATTTCCTGTGATTCAGTGATGGCTCTTTTGGGAGGGAGTCCTCTTTTTGTAAAACATAAGTCTTGCAATGAGAAAACATTCTAAATTCTAACATTCAATCAGCCTGCAACATTCCGCTCAATGACTTTTACACTCGGCACTTGACCCAGGTTCAATGACCCAGCGTTTTCTCTTCGTCTCCTCGGTTTCCCGACCAAGGCCCGCTGGTGAGGGCCTGTGAAGACCTCCAGAGAGGTGCGATGTTCCTTCGTTTTTTGGTTGGTTTCAAGCGAATCCGAGGACGAGTCCAAAGTGATGCGAACACCGGTCCATGGCTGCAGTTCATATGAAGCGGGAATTATACAACAGCTGGACCCCCTCTTACCTACCGCCCAACCGTGCAAACGGTTTTTGCAGGAATCCCACAACCAAATGCTCTTATCATCTGGGGAGTCAATCGAAAGGAGATGATTCACGTTGTGACTCACGTTCGTGTGGTCGACCTTGCCCACTTTTGAGTCCACATCTCTCACAAAGTGTTAAAATACACCCTAAGAATCATTGGACCCCCCCCTCTCAAGGGTTTTGACCCTGCATAGCAGGGGTTTGGACCCGAACCAAACCTTCACCTTCGAGGGTCCTTGATTCTTAAGGCATTAAGTTATTAATGCACTGCAGTCACCTGAGAGAGTCTTCGCCCAATACATGCTGCTCCTGCTTCTTCAAACCCAGGAATGACCTCCACCAAAAAAATCAAACTTGAATGACCAAGATCCATGAACATTGGAGGTCACCATTCATTTGATTCGTAAACATATGCGAAAGTATAACGCGGCATCTCATCTCTCTCTCTCTCTCTCTCTCCTTCGGCGCCTGGGGCGTCTTTCGCCAGCTGGTCCAAACGCCCCGTGGCATCGTCATCTGCATTCGGGCGGGTTCGGCCCGGGTTCGGCCCGGGTTGGCGAGGACAGGAGCATGGGTTGAATGGTTCCCAACTAGTGCTTCCTGTCAGGGTGTCGAATGGAGTATCAAATTTATATGACCCGATCGACCAGGGTGACCAGGTGCTTGGTTCGAGGAACATGCGGACTGCCAGCGTAGGAAGACTTGTCCCTTCAGTTTGTCCTGGTTCCAGCCCATGTAAAAACAGACTTGGAGGCTCTTGCGGTTGCTGATCACACAAAAGCTCTGATGTTTTAAGTATGGTTTACTACTCTACTTAATCTACTGTACTCCATGTCAGACAGATCTAATTGATGTGGCCATAAACAGGGCCTGCCCCCATCCACACCCTACTCCCAAGATGAATGTCCCGGGTGTGGTGTGGTCAAACTGCATGTAAAAAGCCTGTAACATTTAAACATCAACTCACATCACATCAACGGTCAATACTTCAGATATTTTCAGATTGAGTATGTTGCTGCAGTGTCTGGGTAGACTGCATAGAATCATCACTGCTTGAACAGTCCGGAAGATCCAATGCTGAGCCCTTCTCACTGTCTAAAATCCTAATCTATCTAGCGCACAAATCGTGTAGTTCCTCCCAAATTCATGACGCATACGATTCCTCTCAGGCCTCATTTCAGGAAACATGCAGTTGATAGATGTGTCACGTGGACATTTCACATGCACCGCACCCCTCTTTCATTTCAGAGATTCGGATGCACCACCTCACTGTGTCATGCCCACTTCTCCGTCTGGGACCCATTGAAACCCCTCTTCGACCGGTCGCCCCGCCCAGTTGCCTGACGCGCGGCCCAGCGCATCTCCAGGTAGAAGAGCAAGTCCACCGCGTCGTATGACTCCTACGCCCCGCGAGAAGTGGCGCGGAAGCTCGGCGGGTTGAAGCCGGGTGCGGGTGGCGGGTTGATGCGGGTGGCGCGGAGCCGGTTGAGGCGTGTGGACTGCCCAGAGCACAGCTGGGATCTTCGGTGGGTTCTGTTTTGGCCGAGCCGGCCTGAGGACAGAGGGACGCAACGAAGACCTCCAAGGAAAAGAGGAAAAGGCAAGAAAGGACCTGAAGTTGAGGAGAGGTGGATAAAACTGACTATTATATAATAAACGTAATCTGACAAGTCGCAAGTAAGTAGACTACAAAAACTCGTAAGATCTCGTAAGCACATATATTATTATATAAACCCTTCACTCTTAAACCACCTGCTTATGGATACTTATGGATGCTTATGGGAGGGAATCCACTAGTCCTTTCATCAGCTCTGAAATGCTCTGCCATGCCCTAAGATGCCTTATACATCCTTATACCGTATACGCATCTCCTCTCGGTTCAGAACACGAGCACGTGCTCCCACATCCGAGTCAAGCACTCGAGGTGGCAGAGCGCGGGCAAGCACTGCTTTGAACCAAACTAGCATCCTTGCTCCTAGTAGTACCAGGAGCCCCGTTTGTAGTGTCCGATCGCTCCGTTCGTAGCGATGCCCGAAAGGCTCCGTTCGTCGCGTCCGGGCCCAGAGAAGCCCCGTCCGGGCGTCTGACGACCGTGACGCCAGGACCGCGACGTCTGCCAAGACTCAGTCAAACATGGACAAAGCAAAAAATGACAAAACTTGATTACACACGTCATGGGTCATCCCAGATTAAACGATTGGCCCTTATGTCACTTAAAGACTTAAAACATGTGTCGCTGCTTCTATTGAGCCGCGCTGTTGCTGTGAAGCAAAAACTCCAAGCTTTGATCTCATGAGTTTTCCCCTAAACCGCACCCAAATGCTTTCCTTGCATCTCCACAAACTGGTACATCACCTGTATGGCACCTGGCCCGGCCGGGCCCTTGGACCATGCACCCGCTTTCCGCCCCATCAGTGCGACTCCCTCCTCCAGGAACCGGGCGAAGGTCTCGACGCCCTGGTGCGCCGAGCGCACCTCGTCCACCTGGGGGTGCCAAAACCACTAGCTGTGATGGAAAAACTCATTCCCTATTACCAGGGCAATGTGTCTCGGGGGTGGTCAATGGACAACCCCCCCTGACACCCCTGGTATATACATGGTGTTCGGTGTTCCCTGGAGTCACCTGGTGAGTTTGATCTCTTCAGCACCCGTTCAGTCTCGGTCCCGGTGGCTTCACCGTCCAACTGAACGGGAAGAGATCGAGTCGGATGGTCGATGGAGTCGGATGATTGGGGTAGACTTGACCCCGGGTTGTTCACGACCGGGGGCTATCCCCTCTATAAATCAACCAACTTATAGTCAATGGAGTCAATGCACGTTCGTCAATGCCCATCTGTAAAGTCAAAGCATCAATTGGCACCAGAGTTGGCATCAATTGGTGATTCTCAAAGCATTTCTCCATGACCCGCTCCACCGCATCACCTCTTCCACCGCTGTGGAGAAACGGTTCCCCCCCCCGGAGTCCGAAGTCAAGCTCTGGCCCAGCGGCGCTCTTCGTGAGACTCCAGCACACCTGGCCCACCATTTGTCGCAAGCCGTAGCGTTTCCCCACCACCGTCAACACGGACCTGGCCGGATCGAGTAGGATCCCAAGGTTGAAACACAGCAGGAAGAAAGTGGTGGCAAATTCAGAAACATCATCAATCATGTATAGAGAACTACGGAAATCAATTGTACAACATCGGAGGACCTCACCCCTTTGTGTCTCTACGACGTTCTTGATTGAGCCTATAGAGGGAATATTGTTCTTAAGGTTCTATTCATGGTTTGCGGGTGTGCATTGGAGGTCTGCACAAGATCCTCAAGGTAAAACGATATTCAAAGTTCAAATCAACATGATCTATCATGATCTCACATTGTTGTCAGTATCCAAGAAGTATGGCCGGGCCCTTCATGATGGGGAGGACGATTCACTATACGGATCTTGAGTCATTGCTGCACAGATCTTGAAAAGGCGACCAGGCTAGTTGGGTGTGTGAGATGATCACGTCTTGAGGGACAAGAAACAAAACAAGACGGGGATTGGTGAGGGCGGACATGAATTGCATGTCTGTTGGTTTGAACATGATTGAACAGAACAATATCTCAAAATGTGGTCATATGCAAAGAATCCCAAACTGAGCTCCTTGGAGTAAGATCAAAACACAACTCCGGCACCAAAGCGACAGGACCTCGGGGGTATAACTCCATGTTTCGTCAACTGTACCAAAAGGCCAACACAACACACAGAGTTGGACACCTGTGCTACCTGGGATCCTTGACCTTAGTTCAATTTGACTCCATCATTAATCATGTCTGATCTTCGTTTGATCTGACAGTCGAGGACACCTGTGTCCCAAACTGTTAACAGAAACCAATCCGCAAATTTGGTTCTCTGGTGACGTGCGTGGTCAACCCTAGAAGCACCCTTCATGAACTTCCACAACTACAACTGTGGTACAGTACGGAGTTGTCTTGGGGCGGTGGAGTGCTTCCAGGAACTGGCGGCACCCATCCATTCCGAGGTCCTCTGGAAGCCAAGGAAGGATGCTGCCGAACACATGTGGAAACTGCAGGTGCTTTGCTTTTGCCGCCCTAGAAACCCCAAAACAAACAAAGGAAGCGGCCATGGACCATTGGAAGGTTCCATTTCTAAGAAGAAACTCTTGCAAAAGGCCCTGCATCAACAAAACTGGAGGTCATAAAAAGCCAAACAAAAAGAACTCCAAAATACTGTGTGTCAAAAACAAACTTGTCCACTTTTCAAGAAGTCACAAAGCCAGTCATCATCAGGCGAAGGGTTTCGGCCGCTTTTGGGCCACCACCACAACGGCTGTGGCTCGACATGCCCGGGAAGACTGTGGGAAGGTGGTCAAGTCAGTGGGCAGCCTCAGTGGACATGCCCGTTGCGTTTAGAAAGGCCATGTCGACGAACGAATACAGTTGAGCCAATGGAACCTTCGAAGATTCATCGTTGATCATGTTTGATGTGGCTCGACCAGTCCAGTTCGCCTTGGCTTACGTCGTTGTTGTTTTGGAAGAAGGTAATACCCCTAGGGCTCCAACCATATCCTCAGAAAATGGTTAGACCCCCCAAACCCACCCCAAACATCTCAGGAGGTGGTTGGAGCCCTAAGGTACATGCACTTCACCATGTTTGCAGCTCGGGGAAACCGTTCATATGATACACCCAGCAGCTCGAGGGGTCGGCAGAAACCCCCGGAGGTTAGCGCCGGTAGACCGCTGAAACGTCCGGAGTTTCGCGGCCCAGCAGTTTTTTCTTCTTCTTCCCACCATTGGCCTGGAGGCCGCAGCTGATTCGAATGGTCGACCAAGGCATCGGTGCACGATCCAATGCCCTTACAGAAGTCGGGGTGCTTGAAGTCGGGGTCAAGGTACTCATATCTTCCGTACTGAAGTGTCCTGGATGACCCTGAACATTCCGCCGAGAATTCGTGAAACGACGACTGGTGGCTTGGTCAAGTTTGCTTTGCCATGACGTGCCAGCTTTTCTGTCCACCCTCTATTGCACCCCCTTTGAGATAACATGAACAAGCATTCCAGCTCTTTTGAACAAGAACAAGTCAATCATCTGTTTGGCCTCCTGCTTGGCCCAAAAATCGACCAAGTTCCTCACCACCCGAATACACACCGTCATTTCTTCGTCCGACTCGTCCGCAGACCGACTGGGCCCAACCCGGGTCCAGATGGGTCGTGCACGATGGAAGCGGGAAGTCCACCGAGTGCTCGGTGTGACGGTCTGTACATGTATGTCATATAGTTATGTATACCAGCACCTTCAAAGGGGTCACCAATGGAAGCCCCCACACTACCTAGGGATCTCCATTGGGCACCCTTTGGAAACGCTAGGTAATATATATATATATAT